GATATTTAAATTTTGAACAATTATCCAATATATTTTAATTGCCGACGTAGTTTTCAATTGCAAATGTGATTTTAAAAATTAGGTTATTTCCGCAAAATTGATTGACAAAATTAGGGCAAAAGACGACAACGTGGCAATCCGGGTTAACAGAACTCGGGGCGCTACAGCAGGTCTCTCCAGAACTCCGTAATAAGCAGATCGGTGATCAACAACTAAAAATTCCATGAAGTGGTGTGCCACCTGGGGCAAGGCCCCCATCTCAATAGCCAAAGTAATTTTACCCCTGGGAATGATGATGTCTCCAGTAAATCCATAGAGGGGCGAGTTCATTGGTGTTATCTCATGGTCTACTGTCATTTTGTCAAAAGCTATACCAAATAGGATGTTGACTGAACTGCCATTATCCACTAACATGCATTTTAGCCCGTTACGGGCTACCACGGCCTTAACTACCAAAGCATCTTACTGTGGGAAGTGTATACTTGCAGTATCTTCTAGGGTGAATGTGATAGGCTTTGCAGTCCTTCCACTTTATGACTGGCTTACTATGTAACTAGCCATTGGTGGAGTTCTCGTTTCCCTGGTGTAATTCCTTTGTGCATTTTTTATTCACCCCCTACATGGGGGTCCTCCAATGATGGTGTCAATTTCACAAATGGGTTGTTGTTCATTCGAGGCGGCTGAATCTCTCCTAGGGCGTTGCCCATTTTGGGGCCTTTCTCTATCATTGTTTCGATCGCGATGGGAAAAGTGTCGCCTTGTTTCACCCCTTCTTGGGGAGCTGCGCCTCAGATTGTTACCTTGATAGTGGTTATCCCTAGAGTCACGAGGGTTGCTTGCAGGCCTATTCGCCTCTCTGCATTCGCTTGTGTCATGAACATAGTAGCGATGGAAGGTGCAGTAGGGTCACATCTCTTAGGACCTATCTCTAGGTCTTCCGTCTCTTTCCCTATTTCTAGAGGTTAAGGGTCGTCAAGCATTTCTAGCCAGGTTGTTTGTGTTTGGCCCAACATTTTCATAAGCCAAAGTAGGTACTACATTCAGCGTGGCGGTAGCTAGGGCTTGTCCCGAAGTGGGAGTCATAGCGTATCCGGCCCGAGTCCATTGTTGGCTTACTATTTGAGAGGAAGGACCTCTACCTATCTACCTCTAACTTGCTCACAATAAGTTATCTCGTCAATGAAGCGGGTAAGGTAGCTCTTTAAAGTCTCCCCTACTGCTTGTCTCATGTCTTGCAAGCGTTGAATCGGCGCCAGAGGGAGAAAAGAGCTTTCTATAACCAAATCCTTATGGAAAAAGTTCAAACCGGTTGAAGAATACGATTCACCACGGTTAGATGACATCCACACTCCAGCAGCTCCACCGAGAGTTAGATGGAATACCCTGCATTTCAAAGCTGGCGATGCGCCTTGGAGGTTCATTTCCATTTTATACTTGTTGAGATGTTTCTCCGGATCCCCATTTCCTTCGTATTTGGGAATCTTAGGGGGGACAAAGTTTTGAAGCATCGGGAAGGTGTGAAGTTCCCTGGAGAAATGCAAGTTGTCATCATCATCATCCAATTTATACGACCTACATGGTTCGTTGGAATCTTTCCCATTTGCTGGTTGGTGAGGTGGATGCTGGCAGTTTCATCTCTATTCCCCCAATCCACCAGGTTTCGCCTTTCTCGCCTATTTCTAGGTAGAGGGGCTTGAACCTTTTGGCTTTGTGCACTTCCTTCCTAACGAGCTGTTTGGTATGGGGGCTGGTTCCTATTCTTAGGCACCCATCCGATTTGATCGAAAACACTGGCAGACCTTTGGGGCTGCTCTTCATACTCCGGAGGGAAATTATATTCTCCTGTCGTGGCATTGTCAGCCGGAGCGATAGTATAATTGGAAGTGTCCATTCATACTTCTCTTTCAACAGGGGCTTCTCCTTGGGGACTCAGGTGAGTTCTCCTGCCAGATTCCGCTTCAATTCGCCTATGAGTTGATTGTTGGGGACTTTGTGGGGCTCGAAAACCACCCTAATTTTGCACCTGCACGAGGAGCTCTTGCATAGCTGCATTATGGGCCGCAATGGTCCTCATGTTGGCAACCATGTGGGCCACTTCGACAGTTAAACGCGCAGCAGTTCTACCACCTCGACGATAGCGGTGGTGAGGCCGTTGCTGCGTAAAATTTGTTCGGATAACCTCTTCTTCAAAGACATCCCTTGCTCTCCTTGCATTCGCCTCTTCATCGCTGGAACTTATAATCCGAAGTGGCAAGTACAGCAATGCTTAACGTATGGATGATCCTTTTTCAGGAACCAATCCCTTTTTGAAGGGATACTATCAGCCAGATATTTGAACATCTTTTTGGTAGGAAGACTCGTGGTTAAAGTAAACTTCCCATAGAAGGGGCCAATCTGTTGACCTCGAAAAATGGCTCCGACAACTGGCCAACATAATAAGTCTTTGAGTCGGCTCTTCCCTACACACGTAGCACGCCAGTAGTCACCCTTGGCCTTTCCCGAAAGGATTTGGAGTGGTCGCGAGCAATCCGAAGGTCAAGTCAGTTTATAGTTCAACCGAAAAAGGTTCGCCGGTGGTAGAGCACTCGCTGGGAAGTGGTTGATAAAGTGTGTAGTGATAAAAATACCAATATTTAATGGAGATGATGATACTCAAATTTGCAATGTAGTAGAAGAATGTGTAGAATTCCAATCATTCTTCTGGCATAAGGAAGGGATATTTATACTAAGGATGGGAAGAGAAGAGCCGTTGGATGAGAAGACACGTGTTACCAGATCCTCAATGCTCATCCCATCCTACGTGTCAATCTGTCCTTCCATAGGTTGGCTGGCGTTGAATATCTTTGATAAAGACAGCTGAATTGACCGTTTGGTTCCTGCCACGCGTCCCATCAGTCAGAGATTTAACTTTGGAAAGATCTTTGTACAAGAGATCTTCGATGGGCGAGGCGAAGCAGGAGAGGCGTTGCAGTATTGCAGAAGCGGAGTGTAGGCCTTTGCATCCATGGTGTAATTGCGGATGAGTCCAGCTCCTTCGCTGACGCGTATTCAATCCGTTCCTCACGTAATCACTTCGGCATGTACAATCAACCCGTCCCATGTACAATCACCTTGGTCGACGCTTGACGTGGTGTGGACCACCTCTACTAACAATTTTTTGTAATTAAGGTCAAGTTATTCCATATCTTTAGTTCCTTGATTCAATAAATTATTGGGTCAAGCTTCAAACCGGGATTTTAGCTTTCTTGGGTTGTGATTCAATCTTTTGTGGATTTCAGAGCTACTGTTGTTTTGTGAGTTCACATCAGTTATCATGAGCAATGATGTAATATTCAATGAATGTATTTTGTATGACTGGTTGGGAAAAGACCTAAAAGCGCAAATCCTGAAATTAAGTAGTCTAAGGTGATGCCATTGAAAGATCTACCAGTGATTGAATTGGAGAATATTGATCGTAATGAAGATCGAGGAAATATAGCCTCAGAAGTACATGAAACACCCCTTAGACTCAACGCAAAAGATCGAGCAGAACAATTAGATATCCACATAGATACTCTCCAACTTTGCATTATATTCTATTGATTGATAGATGTGAACTAGAAAGTTCCAATTAAGTAAAGTAGGTTGATGAATCAATCAAGTAGGAGTGAGCCCTGAGAGATAAGATGGACTCATTATCATCCAGTTAGACATGAATCAATCAAGCAAGTTAAATTTTCCCTTAAAATAGTGTTAAGACAAGCTCCCAGCCGGATGGGACTTTCACTGGAAATAAATAAAAAGATTCATACTTTTACTTCATCAAGCATTGCAGAATTTCATTATATTGAACAAAAATGCTGTGAGTGTTGCAAAAGCTAAAAGACAGAATATATGCTGCAGATTACACATTCTATACATGTGATTGGCTTAAATTACTTACTATATCAAATATATGATTTTCAAAACTTAACTTTTTCTAGAAAATAGTCCAGTCTCAATCTCACTTTCTGAAAAAGTAACTTCAAGAATAGGTTGTCATCCATGACTTGATCCGCTGCCTTTCTGATCAGAACCTCCAATTCCAATTAGCCCTTCTCTCCTTAATTTATCTTCCTTGGATTTTCTACAGAAAATAACCCAAGAATTCACTTCCAAAGCAATGCAAATGCCTATGAGAGTAGACAAGCACAGACAGTATGCCAACAGAGCATAAGACCTGCTTTCTCCCATCACTTGGAATCCCTGAAAACAATTAACAACCCCCAATACCACACAAGCATACCCTACAAAATGATGGTATGATTTCCAATACTTCCTGAATTTATTTGTTGTTTTAGGCCTAAACAACAGAGCCAGTGTTTGAAGCCACCCGAGGCAGAATGCTGCGTATCCGAGTTTCTGATGAAGCCCGTAAACCCGTCCAGGTGACAATTCCCCTAGCCTAATTCCAATAGAAAATCCTACAGTTCCTAAGAAAACTGCAAAAAGTTGCACTCCAGCATGTGCATAAAACCATGCAGGCCCTAAAGCTTGTATATGTCTTAAATATCGCGCAGTTACAGCTCCTATTGGAAGTAAGATTCCCCAAGAAATTGAGTTTATGACGCCATGAATGATTTTCAGTGTCCTGATATTGTTGGTGTGTGTCTTGGCTGTAGTTGCAGAGAGGACATCTATTGTGGCTATGGATGAAAGATCATTGATTGCAGTTTGATGTATAGTTGGGGAGTAACCTTGAACATATAATCCGCGATTCCATACATAGTGGATCTTCGTTTTATTTGGGACGAGTTTGAATGTCGCATATATTTGAATAGTTGCACCATCATGTATGGTGGCCATACGACCACCATATAAGGTGGCGGAGGAGGAGAGGAGGTGTATGTCAAGGGGACGGGAAAGGAGCGGTGTTCTTTGGAGTTTTACGGTGGGATCTAGAATGTAAGGTAGTAGGACTAGTTGTCCCGAGTTGGGGTCTGGGAAAGCGATCAAAGCTCGCGTTCCTGTCATTTCAGGAGAAATCGGATTAATTCCAAATCCAACCCAACCTGAAGGAGATATGAAGCTACCAAAGAAGACGAGATCGAGGGTGGCGTTGTGTGGATGGAAAGTCCACGAGATTGAGGCTTGTTGAGAAGGAAGTGTCGTGCATTTTTCAAATGTTTTAGATACTGTTTCAGAATTACAATGCGAAGAAATTGCAACATTCGGTACCTGAAGTGCAACGAAAAGGAAGAATAAGAAGCAGCAGCCAAGTTGCATAATGTACTATGCAAGTGAAGTGATCAAAATTGAGATGATAGGTAAAGGGGGGTTTAATTTGTTGGCATACATTTGTTTTTTATACATATATAAAAGATTAGTTTTCTCAGTGTGTGGTTGCATTAATCATGAGAAACCCACTTTCGTTACTTGGCTTTAAAGAAAGCCAAATTCGTTGTTGCTCACAGGTTTCCATCATTTTTGTCCTTGAATATCTGATACGCTTGTTAGAAAAGAATCAATAGTAGTAGATAGTATTATTATTAATACAGAAAAGAAGAAGTTAAAATCCTTATAATGTTGAGTTCATTCTAATTTAGGGCTTGTTTGGCCGGATTAAAATCTGATTTTAATTTAAGTCAAAGTCAAACAATTAATATTAACCACATCTTTCATGGATTCCACATCATTTTTGTCCTTGAATATATGATACGCCTGTTAGAAAAGATTCAATAATAGTTGATAGTATTAATAAAGAAAAGAAGAAGTTAAAATCCTTATACCGTTGAGTTCATTCTAATTTAATCCTGCAAATCAAACATGTACTGACTAGTGTGTCTATTTTCTTTCGGTTTAAGAAGTAAAAACCCATTTGCTCATGAACTTACAAGTGTGTTTCAGTTTAGTAACTAAACTTGAATGTATCAAAATATTCACCCAACTTCATTTTTGTGTTTCGAGTATTGCCGTTTGCTACAACTAACGATTTTGCTAGCATGGGAACATGACGTGACGTTAAGTCTTGGTTGCTTTAATCCACCTTGATAAGAAGAATCAAAGAAACAGGAGATAAAATGATAATAGACATCAGAAAAATGTGATCTAACGGTTTGACGACTTGATACAAGTACATAGCATTTTCTGTTAAATAATAGACGCCAGAAGAACGTTGTGGTCCTAAGTACAAAGTTCAATGGCCATCAGTGAAATTAACCCATGTTCTTTCTTAAATTCTATGTACCTCTCGTGATCTGTTGTAAAGCCAAAAAATGAATAGCTTTTTAGTATTGAGATTTTGCTTCACTTTGAAGCTAAGATAAGATAGAGTGCGATGATGGGCATGATTAATGGAGGACAAAAAAATTAAATCCACACTCATTAAAGTTTGGTGTAATCAACATACATAATAATAACTAAGACGCTTGATGGTGCCAGTCGATTTTGGATGACGATGCAGTGATGGAGATGACCGATCGATAGTGATTTGTTGTATGTTATTCAAGTGTGACTTTTGCTTTGCACTAAATAAAGCTATCCTATAAAATATCACGGCATTGCTAAAAAATGTAAATTATGGGTCGTTTACTTTCGTATCTGTAATTGGGAATAGTCCATGAACTTACCTCTATGGCTACCACACATGGTATGTTTATATTTTGCAAATTTATTTATATAAAATACTATTTGGCCTTTGTTAGAGGATGAACTCCAACCTTAAGGGTCCCCCACCACCCTACTCCTAGAGCATTGTGGATGAAGTATATCGCGGGATGTGCTTCAACAGGCTAAGGTACAAGAGCTGTCATATTGATGCCCACAAAGAGTCAAATTTCATACCTTGTAAGATGCAAGAAACGAAGTCTCATATTGCGACTGTCAGCTCAATTGAGACTACTTCACTCATATCCTTTGCACCACTGAGTTATGTCCCGTGGGACACTATTTGGCCTTTGTTGTTTGGTACGTATTTAAATCAAATTAAAATTTTAATAGATTTTGATAAAAAGTAATGAAATATGTAGTTAAAAAATCTTTTGACTCCCATAAAATATGTAATTAAAATTAATTATTAACTAGAACTTAAAACATGCGTTCTCATTAAGTTATCTTACTCTTTGGAAAGCCGTACCTACTTTCCATACCTAATTAAAAGTGATATGTGGGTTTGTAGTTGGTGCAACTTAAAATTCACAGAAATCCCGATTTCAATCTCCATTTTAAGTCACTACATTAAAAATCACATAATATAATAATTAGTTGTCAAATAAATAAAACTAAATAGATATGCTCCTAAAATATAATTAGTCTTGCGTAGTTATGTAGAGTTTTAAATCATTAAAATAAATATATTCCACAAATATTTTAGTAAATGAGTCGGTGAAGGTGAATGCTTCTCGTTGGATTGTGATTCTTATTGATGTCATGGCTCTTGCTCATCGCTTGAATCTTACCTCAAGCTGTAAATCGCTTCCCACATTCTGCCGGTCGACTTATTCATATAATCGGTGGGAGTTGAATCTATCAAACACTTGCATGATGCGATGATACCCATGGGGAAAATATAGTTTAGAATATAGAAATAATTTTACACCTAAACCACAAACCTTTTTCTATTTTTTAGCCACATTCTGCAAAAAAATTATTATAACAAAATTCATTTTTACCAAAAAAGTAATTTAGGGGCCGGAGGATATTTTTATCAACAAACAAAAACAGTCTCTAAATGTGAAAGATGACTTTTCGGACTTGCAAAATAAAATGAAAATGAACACCGAAAAGCCATTGGCAAACAAGACAAGAAGTCAACAAACATAATTGAAAGAAACATGGCTTACAAATGGAAATAAGAAAATTGTGCACATATGCATGCATGTCAATACACAGGGATTATTTCCTTTGAAATTTCAATAATATCTACCGTTCTTGAACAACTGAATGTTGGACTGTATCACAATTTTCATTAATAAGATTGAGTCAAGTCAGCCAACTCAAGTGCCACCAGCATAAAAACATGAAATTATGTTTCAGAAATTATTTATGTAGACAGATGAATATATGCATTGAAAAAGAAAAAGAAAGTAAATGGATGATTTCATTTTTACTTCTTTTTTCCTGGAGAGAAAACCTTGACGTTTAGGACAGCTAGCACCCTCAACACTAAATAGTTAGGAGGACCATGCTACAAGTACATAATCATTTACATAATACATTACATAATTGACATGTGGCGCACATCCATCGGTAGTCTACAATTTTTGACTTTTCCACACTTCACATCCACGGCCAGATTTCTTCCACATAGGCCTACGTAATCCATTATGTACAATAATATCCACGGCCGGATTTCTTCCACGTGAGTCTATGTAATCCATTATGTACAATAATTATGTATATATAGATTTATCCTAGTTAGGAATATCAATTACCAAAGCATTAAATGCATAAAAAAAGTCATCCTTGCTCCATGCACATGCCCCCGATCCCCACCCCCCACACAGACCTCTCAGAAGGAATTAAATTTCCTCCAACAGACCAACATAGGATACAGATTGACTTATAAGGAAGACAATGTTACAAGTATTATTGTTCAAAGTCTTAACTCCTTTATACGGATAACACATTTCTGTTTTCAGATGATAGAAAAAAAAAGGTAGTTTTAGAACTACAAAATTTCCAATGGAACTCACAGTATTTCCAATGGAACTGAAACAATTTGGTAGTAAATACTATTTAAAGTTCTCTTGAAAACTTGCACTTCAAACTTGTTTTTCCCTATATATGTTAAACCTGATTAGTTGATCTAAAGTTAAAGAATCCTGTTAAAACCTAAATTCACAAAGTCCACATTTTCCATTTTTTTCCTGATAACTATCCACTATTAGTTGTTAAAAAACTCATCATGGAAGTAAGACTTTGAATGCGCAACATATCATCTTAGACCATGGCATTGTCTTGAGAATTCACTATTTTAACCGCAATTACTGATTTCCGCTAATCATGGATTTCATCTTTCCACCTTGCTCGGAATGTTAACTACTAAAGGAAGGGATTCCTACATAATCCATCCATATTATTCCACGTCATGAGAAGTTCAGCAATTTTGGGCAGGAGAAAGGGGGTTCCCTGCACCTACTCGGAATATAACATAATCTTTTTGAACGTGTAATTCATTCTAATGTACATAATTGATAGAAAAACTAATGAAAGCATAATCACAAATAACAGAGCGAGCCATGAGCAATGGTTGTAGTGATGCCCCCAAAAAACCATGCAAATGCATAACTGGACAATTTTATTTGAATTCTAAACCATTGGATCAAAATTACTAAATTCGTAATCATGTGACACACTCTTTTGCTAAACTTCTAATGGAGTAGTCAAGGCCCCAAATGTATTCAGATCAACAATATCATATAGCCATTATTGCACAAGAATGAAAAGCCAAACAATTATCCAATTCCAATGATCGATTAATAATTCATAATGATTTCGATGAAAAATAGATTCTCACATGATCAATCTGTTTCGTGGCCGGGGTGACCTTATCCTCGACTGCACCTGTCAAATCATTGTAATAGCTCTCAGGAACGGTGGACTTCTTCTTGGCAGCCCCCAATAAGGAAAACCAGACCTTTGGCCTCAAGCTTGGTGGGATACCCTTCCTAATTAGCCTCTTTAGCGTTATAGCATTGACCAAGACAGAAAATTTGAGGGAAGTTTTGAGGGTTGAGGTGGATTGAGTCTGCAAATACCAATTTACACCTTTGCTAGCCTCTAATGACCACCATACCCTGCCTTGTTCCCTCACCTTTTCTGTCACCTCATTCAAAACATTGACATCATCCACATTGCCTTCCATTGTGAAACCATACAGATCTTGAAATTTGACCGTTATATTTGCCCGTCTTGCACGAATGCTTGGCCTCAGTACGGGTATCTGCGCTTGGTATTCAATTGCCAAGTCTATCTTGCTGTGGGTGCTGCCATACATCATATTCATATGGATAATAATGTATCATCTTGAGATTATAATACACAGCAGATGATGGACAGATCAAGAACAATGGAATCAGATTATGGGAGAGATCAAGAGAGCCCAAATCATTGAATTACTACCATTAAAGAAATCATATAACGGTAAATTTTTGAAGATTTAGAAAGAATCCGTCACTATGGTATTTGGGCCCTTTGAGTAAAAAATTGGAAAGTTTGAATCTTTCTATATGGGTTCTTTCAAAATTAATAATAGCATTCAACTCAAAACGTAAGAGGAAAAAAAAAATTGCAAAAAAGGAAGAGAGAAAAAAAAACAAAAAACAGAAAGAAGAGGGATAAAGGGAAAAGGAAACGGAAAGATCCGTGGTCTGAATTCTACAACAAGGAGAGACGAGAATGAGGAGCCAGTAGCCCCCAGGGCATATCTCCCAGTGGCAGAGGGGAGGGCGGTTAGGGCTCAGCGCGGTAGTGTGCAGAGTTCGATTCCCAGCAAGGTGGAAT